GAAACCTCAAAGCCCACCCCCAGTGTCACACTTCCTCCACCAAGGCCACACCTCCTCCAGCAAGGATACACCTCCTAATTGTCCCATCCCTTATGAGCCTATGGGGTCCTTTTTCATTCAAACCATCCCAAAGGGCTTGTGGCAGAGCCTGGGAGTGATGTACGTGTGTTAGGCTAGCTCACACCCCATTGCCTGGAAGAGTCCCTTACTGAACCTCCATTTGACTGGGAAACATGATCCAGCTGGCTACTACAGAGGAAAAGGGATGTGGCTTTCTAAGCCACTATCTGGTTGCTCTCATCATTGCTGTTTGGGGAACAAGCACACCTACGTGCATCTCCAGATGGCTGAACCTCCAAATATCTGTGTTGATGTAAGTGTGTCAGAGTTCAGATTTAGGGTGAGCATGTTAGGGTAAAACCACCAAGGGCTTATGGGGTGTCTTGATTCATCCCCCAGATGGAACATATGTCAAAACCAAGTCCTACTGACACTGCACAATATTTCCTCAACCATACAAGCTACTCGATGCTCTAGGCCTCAGTTTCTCCTCACTTCAGAGAGCCTACTTGGATCTGTTTGGTGGAATTCAACAAGATAAATTAGCACAGGTCATGCTGGAGGCAGGGGCAGCTGCTCAATGGACGCTGGTTCCCTTCCCCCCATTAGTGCCAGTGCTGTGGAATGGAAGTGGGTGGGGTGTTGGGGACTGTGGACCCCCAAACCCTGAATCTCCTGTGAATTACTGCCTGCCGGAGTAAACAACTTGTTTTCCTGTGCCTGTAGCTGTTATGAGCACGAGACACTCAGGAGTTCCTGATGGCAGGGTTTCTGGTGGGCTAGCAGCTGAAAGTTAGGGCTTGGCCGTTAGTCAAGGAGAGCCTATATAAGCTGCCCTGGAACACATAAAGGAGCATTCTTGGGGCATTCTCGGCGTTCTTGTTTCAAGGATGTCCTATGTCTCTCTCTGTGTGTATTTCAATCTTCAAGTCCTTGCCTGACTTGTGACCCATCCAGTAATGCAGGCTATGCTACAGGCGTAGTACCACAGTAGGACCGTAGTACATGTAGTAGCACGGAGGCTACAGTGGGGGACTCATACACGGGGGCGAAGACCTGACATTGAGGCTTCCACTGTTGTGGTGAGGGAGATACACGCAGAGGCGACACTTCCCATAGGAGAGGGAGAGAGTTGTTTCGGGGCAGTGGTGGCGTCATACCCTTCCTGTCTGTCCTGCCACTCCAGGAAAGGTTTTCAACCTTGCCTTCGGTTTTAAATGGAGCTATTATTCATACTATAAAAGGATTCTTCGCATATTGAGCAGCCTCTTTAGACATTTCTGCTTTCCTACCCACAGATTAACTGTACTGAGTCATAGCCCTAAGCGCAGAAAGGAAAGGGAAGGAGGGGGCAGAGAGGGCAGGCAAGAGGGGAGAGGAAGGGACCTCTGCTTTTCAAAAAAGCTGGTCTGTGAACGACCATGTTTTGCCTTTTTTATTTAATTTAATTTTATTTTTTAAGATACTACCATTACCAGTTATGGCAACAACAGAACAAAACTTTACCCTCTCTCTCTGCTAGGGAACAGTCATCCTCTGTAACCTGTAGAAGTACCAGTCCTGCCAGGGTCATTGGGAAGCCCGGGCCAAGGCACACTGCCCCTGAGTCCCACGGGAGAGGCTGACTGAGCTGTTCCCGGATTGCAGCTGCCTGTCTTCCTCCTTCCCAGCTATGCGAGTCGCAGCCTGAGCACTCAGCTCCTGGGGGCAAATTCATTTGAGTGACTGTTCAACAGCCTGTGCTCAGTTTCCAAGAAACTTTCCACGCTCTGGCCGTAATGCCAGCTCTAACCTCCCCTGTTCTTTGTTTTTCATGAAAGCACTGCCCTTCTCTCTCCCCGACTGTCCAGGGTAAGGGTGGGTGAGACAGACTTGTCAGCGTTGGTCAGCCACCTCAGATCTCTGAACCTGGGGTTGTTTTTGTTTGTTTCACTAGCCAATGTTATTACTTAGAACATGGCCTGGCCTGTGAGAAGTGTATCTATAGGAAGCATCGAGTTCCACCATACAGGAGCACCACACTTCCCCCCAGCTTTATCTTTAGAGAAATGGGGTTTGAGGGAACTTTTATCTAACTCTTATGAAGACCCAGGCACTTGCCAAGCCCATTCTGCAGTTTGCTTCATCTTTACAAAAGCCTTGCTAGGAAGGTGTAATGGCTGTTGCTCCTTGTAGGTAGAGGCTTCAAGAGCCCGTGACTTGCAGAGATCGAAAGCTAAGAAGCCAACTTCTCGGTGCCTGCTCAGATATCCTCCCCCCCACTCCCTGCCCCAGATGTACAGGGGAGGGGGAACAACACTTAAAACTCTTCCCTTGCTAGAGGAGTGTGTGTGTGTGTGTGTGTGTGTCCAACAGGAGGCCCTGTCCCAGTGGACATCACAGCATGCTGTGTCTCAGGTTTGTACCTCAGGGTAGTCACAGGGTGGTTGGGAGAAAAGTACGACACCCCCTCCCCCACTTGCCCTTTGTCTTTGCTTCTGGACACTCTGGACAAAGGTCTCTGCCCTTCTCTTTGAGTAGAGAGTACTGGCCATTGCATGGCACTTCCTTTGTGAGGCTCGGAGCTGAGCGCAGAGCTCAGTGGTGACTACAAATTGGGAACCGTGGTTCAAATTGGGGATGAGCACAAGTCAGCTGTCCAGTGGGCCATCCCAAACCCGCTGGGCTTCTTACAGGAGATAGCCAAATTGACCACAGCGCTTTGGAACCCAGGCCAGTCCAGGGCCCACTGTTGCCTCTACGCCTCTTGGTAGATCCTGTCTTCTTAATGACTTTGACCTATCTAGTTCTAGGTACTGTTCATTCTCAAACTGTGACTTCAAACTTCAGTGTTGAGAGGCGGGACCCTCCATCACAGGCTGGTGGCAACCTGGCCACAGATCAGGTAGGGAAGCTCTTCCCTTTGAGATACTGACTCCATTGAGCATCCGATTTAAAATCAGGGCTGCTTAGGCATTGTGTGCATGTGTTCTATGTAATACTATATAGTTATAATATAGTATAATTATACAATGCACACATTATATATGTATAAATACACATATACACAAATATACTTGCACACACACACACATAAATAAGGAGTCATTCAATCAACAGCCATACCTGGATCTGGGCTATCGGAAGACACAAAGCCTGTGTCCTCAGCCACCTTGTTGGAGCCCACATCCTGGTGATTGCCTCAGCATGGGGGAGAGGTCTCTATAGCTCCAGGCTTTTACTTGGGTAACAGGTGATGGATGACGTCACTGTCCAGACAGAGCACATTCGACAGGGTTGCCTTTCAGGATTAAGACTCAGGTGAACTATCTCATTTAAAGCAAGCGGAAATGTGGCCTGAAACCTTAGGGAACACAGCAAAGGATGGTCAGGGCAGGTTCAAATGCAAGTCTGTAGGGAACAGTTGTCTATGATGTCCCAGGGAGAGTCGTGATCGGCTCCCGCAGTGTAAAAAGGGAGGGCTGATAGCCTGGTACTTAGTTTCACAAGGCTGGTTAGCCCCACCTGCTAGGACACTTGGACTTCTGCTTGCCCGGAACCGCAGGCGACTTAGCTTCTTTTGCTTTTTCTATTTGGCTATGGCTCATCCAATGACAAGTGCTTGTGAAACAGAAGAGGGCAGAGAGGTCCTGGTGGACTAGGATGGAGGCTCAGGAGACCGTCTCCCTTGAAGGTATTTCCCAAATTAAAACAGCACAGAGGCTGACCGGCAGCAAGCTGTCCTTCCAGAAAAGGCCCAAGGTTCCGGGCTGACTCAAATCTGGAAATAGCTGTGACCTTCATCATCATAGTGGACTCTCACAGACCAACACCCAGGAGTGACAGAAAACAGACACACAAAGGGTCAAGGTTGGGACAGAAAGGCCTGTGGCAGTCTAAGCACACAGGGAGGACTCGTTCCTGGCAGTCACCCTAGAGACTCCCAGCAGCCCTGGCCCAGAGCCCTCTAATCCCAGGGTCTTCTGCTTGCTTCATCCCAGTTTCCATGCTGGGTTGAGACTTCTCTTGTTGAAGATGACTTGCTTGCATCATTCAGCAAAGAGCCCAAGGTAGGAGACAGACCAAGACGCCCCTTTCCCCACCAGTCTTGAAGCTCTGGTGGTAGCTAGCAGCGGGGAAAACGAGGCATCTGCTTCCCCAAACACAATTCGGAGCAGTCCAGAAACATGTCTGAAGGATTAAGGCCTCAGAAAAGCACACATCTGGCAGATGATGGCCACCATTTAGAACTAGAGGTGAGCCAGCTTGTCATATTTCCTGGGGAGTGGCGATGACAGCCAGAGTGCCATTAACAACCCTGCTTAGGACTCAAGGCCCTTGAAAGCAGGGATGCTGTTCCACATGACCCTGAAACACTCGGAACCGGTCATCTTTCCCTCAAGGCCTCGTGGCATGGAGTCACTTCCTGAACTGCTGCTGCTGGCGTTAATTTAGGGAGGACTCCACAGACTGAGCACCAGAGCACACAGGCCAGACAGCCGTGTGGGCTTTCCCTCTTAGATAAACTGGGCCTGAGGTTCTTGGAGCTCTGCTGGATGTACAGGGCAAGCAGGAAGGCCTGAGGGACTGAGATCTGCATAGGCCTCAGCTAACTGAGGACAGGAAATCACTCAAGTGAAGTGTCCCTACTAAGCAGCCAAGAACCAAGAACAGGTGGCACTGTAGCTACAGTAACCAGACAGTGCCTAGGAGAATTGGACAGGGAAGCTCGTGCATCCGAAGAAGGGACAGTTTCCTCTCGACCCCAGGCTCTCAGATGTGGGTGTCAGTCACCTGGGGAGCTTATTAACCATGCTGTCAGCCTCGTCAGGGCTGGGCTGCCTTTCCTAACAAGCCCCAGGAGAACGAGCTGCTGGCCTGGGGATCCACACGTGGAAACACACACCCTGCTCATCAGCACAACCACTGTACCCAAGGAGCGACAAGGACACAAGGCCAAGTTCCATTATAATAGCCATCTTTATTTGTAAAAATCCAGATATAAAACGTAATCTTTCAGTCTTTCCAGGTTTTCCTTTTTTACAAAAACAAAAAGGCACATATAAACCTTCCCCACTGTCGTTCCTGTACAGGGTGTTTTCAGGCAGCCCTCCCCCCGCCCCCCGTTACAGCTACATGCTTCATTCCAGGACGTCTGGCTCCCCACATGCTTTGGTGCTTTCCTACCAGGGTAGAGTTCCGAGCTCCAAGACTTGAAGTACACAAAGGGGGGGTGGGGGTGGGTGCAGTGTGCGGCACGGTGCTCCATGGCGTGCAGGGCAGTGCGTTAGTAGTAGGTCTCCTTCTCCACCCAGCCTGAGAGAGGGAGAGAGAGACAAGTACAGTGAGTCCGCTTTCGGGAAAAACCAGGACAGGGACCCCTTAAATCCTTGGGGAGTGTGTGTGTGTGTGTGTGTGAGTGTGAGTGTGCAAAGTGCGTGCACGCACACACACGTGAGCGTCTGAGATCTCAGTTGTAGCAAATTAGCTCTCTCTAGGAATACTGTGTTATTATTAGGTTTATGCCAAGATTTCTTTACATTATGTTTGGTTCATACTTTTTCAAGTCTTAAAAGCCGTAATCTGTATGGGCCTTAAATTGGTTCTCCATGTGGAAGGCACGGCTGTGACCCGCCGCAGAGGAGGCCTCACTTACCGCCAGGGCGCCGTCTGATGATGAGCTTCCGCACTTCGTCATACACGAAGATGAGGAGGGAGTAGGGGAAGGCACAGAACCACCACGTAGGTCTGCAAATAGAATCAGACACCAAGTTAGACACACGAACCAGTTCACAGGAAGACAGAGAAAGTGCACGTCTCCAAACGATGAGGGAACCATCAGCTGACTCGCCACCCTGAGCTATGGGGTCATTCACAGGCTGCACTTCATGAAGGAAGCCCAACAGCTTCCCCAAGAACCGGGTGGAGCCGACTGTACTTTCTGCTGACAATCTGGGAGTGACCAAACATTTTCTTTCTTCCTTTCCCAAAGTCCTTAAGCTCCCAAGTGCATTTGTCTCCTGCCCTGGCATTCGCAGACAAAGAACCGCCTGTGTGGGTCAAAGCCAGTTTATTCAGACCCTAACCTTGCTCTCTGGCCCTGGAATCTGGGAGGACCAGCTGTGTTTTGAGTTCCCAGACCTGGGGACTAAGAGAAGTAGAGCCCCGACAGACAAGAAAGGTCTTCAAGAGGCCTGGAAAGGTTGCCACCTGGTCCCCAGCAGCGAGACGGGCTCTCAGCAGCCTCCTGCAGGCACCAGGCTTCCTTGACTACAGGCTCCTGGGTAAACAAAAGAGGAAGCCCTGTCCTGCCAGCTTTGCCGTCTCCGCCTTCCTATATGCCTTAAGCAGGAGTGAAAAAGTAACCTCACTGCCTCACTCAGAGGAGCAGGAGCACCAAACAAATCGAGTAGAAGCTGTCAGGAGCAAGTCAGGTCACAAAGGTCCCAAAGTGCCTGGAAAGTGGCAAAGTCCTGAGGCTCTACTCCTCCTCACTGGCACTTCCCAGCTAGCTGTTCAGAACCTGTGACCTCTTCTTCTCTCCCCCCATTCAGCAAGGCTCAGGCCAATGTAATCAGCATTTCTTACATCTGATGTTCTGCAGGCTACTATGGAACCTGATATAAAAAGAGAAAGCCAACAAAGAGACATGAGAGGCCAGGATCAGGAGGGCAAGAGCACATGGAGATAACTCCAAGGACTTCAGCCCCAAAGGACTATTGGGTGTGATGGGTTGGGTGGGAACATCCTTACCAAAGACATACGCAGAGAGGGTAATAGTGAACCGGCTACCATGGACTTGGACAGGCCGTAAGACACACCTTGGACGCCAGTCTCACCTTGCACCATAGACTATGCCTGCACACATCTGATGTGACCAAAGGGTATTGATTCAAAGATGAGATCAGTGGAGGGAAGTGTTGGCACGAGGCCAGTGTGAGAGATGGTCCAGATGAGTGTGAGCAATGGCAGGAGTGGGTGGGACGCAAGAGACTGATGCTCTCAAAGGCTCTTGTGTTGGAAGAGCGCCATGTTCTGCAGCTCAACATGATTAATCAAGTTGTAGCTGCTCAACCTCAACCATCACTGGACAGCGGCAAACACATGTGGAAGTTTCCACCGGCTGTCAGACTTCTTGGTGAACCCTGCTCGTTAAGAACTGAGGCCTAAGAAAAGCACAAAGTCATTCTCTACGTTGAAGGCTGGTCTGCTTCTGAACACAGAATGACTTGGATCGACTTTCTAAACTGCTCAGTTCCACCCACGAATGACTGACTGGGAGGGCAAAGGAACCCTGGATTCTCTCCAAACTCCTTTGGAGCCTCCAGGAAGGTGAAGAGGCGACACGTGACTAGGGCAAGCAAACAGGACCCGGGCCTGAGCCTTCAAAGTCCAGAACAGCTCTAAGGACAGCTGGACTATGACAGCAGAGGACCCGAGGGCTCAACAGCAAACTGTTGAGCAATTTCAAAAAACCAGAGCTTGTGCAGTCTCACCTTGGGCCAAATCCTCAGCCCTGGCAGGTCTCTATCTGCTGTCTGGTTTACTGGTGGATCTGGCTTTCCTACCTTCCAGTGCAGAGGAACTCTTACACACACCAGTCAGAAGCCCAACGAGAACAGGCGCTCATACACGGCACGAGGGGAAAAGCCACATAAACTATGTCTGCACCTTTTGGAATGCAAGAGGCCCAACTTACTTGAGGGGATACATCCTAAGGGCAGCGCCCATCCCAGGGCAGTAGGACAGGAAAGCAGCAAGGGCCGTCTCTTCAAAGAGGCCAAATATTAAGATCTTGTTCCTAAAATTCAAGGGAGACCAAAGTTTATACGTTGCAAATAAAGGCAGATTTCTCTTCTAATGCTGTGTGTGTGTGTGTGGGGGGGGGCAGATCAGCACCTAAAATGTCAGCTCTCAGCAAGATCTGATGGGTCGGATGGGGAGGGCTGAGCATTCTACTCTGGGTGTGTCCAGCATTCTGACATTGCAACATCTTGTCATCTACAAAGAGACTGAGAACTGCAAAGGCTTGAGAACTGGAGGTGGGGGGAGGATTGAGAAAAAAAAAAAAACCCGAAAAACTCTTTAAGTAAACTTGAACTTTTGGTTGGGCTCTAGTCACAGGTATCTTGAGTTTGATGCAGGCTGGACACGCCTGGTGGAGAGTCCAGGACCTTGGGCATGGATGTCAGATGCTTGGCTTATTGTGAAGATGCATTTATAAATAAATTACCAGGTCCTTTCTGTGCCCTTTACAACTTACTTCATCCCCTGCTGGAAGACAGAGTTCCTTCTGGTCTTGCAGATGACCAAGTCAGCCCACTGCACCACCACAATACTGACGAAGAAGGCCGTATGGCAGGTGAACTCCACTATCTTCCTCTGCTCGTAGGTCTGAAAGGGGAAGCAGGTGCCTTAGACCTGGCTCTTCCCTGACACAGTGGCAGTGCTGCCAGTCCTCAGGGTTGGAGGAGCACTGGCTTCCATTCCAGTAAACAGTTACTTACCCACTGCTGCCCATAGCTGTCTTCCACATCGTTGATCCAGCGGTCATCCCAGGTCTCTCGGATGCCCAGCAGGTGAAAGGGGAGGAAACCGTTCTCGGCCAGAATCACAAAGTAAGTGAAGAAGCCTCCCAGGGCCTGGATCATACCTGTGTTAGAAAAACCACCTGAGTGCTAGCCCTCACCCACGGCCCCCCTCTTCAGCCCATCACCCCAGCAGCCCCAGGGCATTGAGGGCAGAAGTGGGGGTGGGTTTTCTGGATCACTGATTGATTAGGGCACAGCACAAGACATGCCAGCCACTGTCTCTTGTGGGCCGAGGGCTGGGAGGGAGCATGTCGGACACACTGGGCTCAAGGTCCCTCTACTCTGTGAGAGTTGGCAAACAGAGGTCTTCCTTCTCTCGCCATCTGTTGCTTTCGTCAGGGCACAAACCTTACAAGAAATCAGCTTTCTTGCTTTCTAATCAAAAACATTCATGGTTTCTTTCTCTCCTACTTCAAGACTTCTACACATTGCGACTTTGCTTGCCCCTGAGACATCTTATGACCACTCCTTTCCTCCTGCCATCCAATCAAGACAAGACACCCCAAGTTCTCCAGAGCAGTCATTTTTCTCTCTAAACTACTCCTTCCTCAAAGACGTGAGACACTCTCTGCTGCGCTGTGACCAGTAGTTATCTCATGGAAGTTGGTCATAATTTCTGTAAGATGCTAATCCATGTTACCCCTCCCAGGTGTTCACAGGCCTAACTGCTAACAAGATCAAGTCACCTATGGTGGCTTTCTCTATGCTCTCTTGAAGGAGAAAGGCATTAAAAGTGAAGGCATTTGTATTTTCTATCCCCCAGATCGGATGGCTGGCCACGCTGCTGTAGCAGAAACCAGTGAGAGATGAGGGTAGGGAGAACCATCATTTGGAGAGGACCCACTGAGCAAACTTTTGGTGTCAAATCCCCCATCCCAATGAGATAGAGGAACTTGATCCCTTCCCCTACCACCATGGAAAGGTTGTCTGAGTTGAGGAGTGCAGAGCCAGGCACCTGATACCACAGGGCTCTGCGAGGAGGGCTGCTCCCAGTGCGTAAAGAGTAGAGTTTTCCCCCAAACCACCAGTTCTCCCACGGCAGAGAGACTCCAGTCTGGTCCCCATCTCCCTTCACTCCACACTCAGAACTGAACCCAGGGCCTGACTCTATATGGCTGCACTACCTCCTCATCTGTGGCTCTCCAGTCTGAACCCTGTCACAGCTCATCCCAGACAGAAAATATCCACTCAGGCCCTTCCCAGTGACTGTTCCACAGAGAGGCAAGGCTCACCAATCTGCCCATAGGCCATGCTGATCAGACGCTCATTCACAAGTTTGTCGGTTTTGGGATTTCTGGGCTGTCTCTTCATGATGTCGCTCTCGGCCTGTTCATAGGCCAGGGAGATGGCGGGAACCTGGGGGAGGTGAGAAGGGGCAGAAGTAGGTATTAAAATTCTTGCTCCCTCTTAAAAAAAAAGATTTGTGAGTGCATGTTGAGTGGGAGGCCTGGCAGGCGCTCTTGACCACTGAGCCATCTATCTAGTTAGTCCCTTGGCCTCCCCCCTCCCCCCCAATGGTTTTTTGCTGCTGTTTAAGTACACGGAACACATTATTAGGGAATCCAGTGTTTTCTTGAGTAAATGGATACAAAAGTGAGACTTCTTTTCTGCTAAGTCAATGTGGACAACTGTCCTGATGACAACCGGCACTGAGCCAACGACGCCACAGCCCTACAGGTCCCGGGAACAATGGAAGCCGGCAGCAGCACATGCGGACATGTTACCACCACATGCGTGGCCATGACACTCACGTACCATGTCAGTGCCCAAGTCAATGCAGAGGATGGTCACAGTCCCCAGGGGCAGTGGAATGTTCGCAATAATAAATATCAGGAAGGGGGTGATTTCCGGAATGTTACTGGTGAGGGTGTAAGCGATGGATTTCTTCAAGTTATCAAAGATCAGACGACCTAGAAAGGAAGACATTTTTATTGTACTGAACGCAAGAGTCAAGGCGCCCTGCCTGCCTGTTGGGGAGCCCCCAGAAGTGCTCTGACCTTCCTCCACTCCGGTCACGATGGAGGCAAAGTTGTCATCCAGGAGAATCATGTCAGCAGCTTGCTTGGACACATCTGAGCCCACGATCCCCATGGCAACCCCAATATCTGCTTTTTTCAAAGCCGGAGAGTCATTGACACCATCGCCCGTGACGGCCACGATGGCACCCTGCCCAGAGAAGGAGGGGAGGGTTAATAAAGCCCCATTTCTTTGCAGGGATGAAAGGAAGGGAGAGGCAGTCAGCAGATTATAGCTCCCTTCCTAGCTCACGGAGGCTGCACGGAGTTTGGGAACTATCCTGTCCCAGGGCTCACACAGGTCCCACCCACAATGACAACCATATTCTCCCTGTTTAACCTGGACTGCTTGGAGGAATGACCCTGGTAAGTGGCCCTGGATAAGTCCCATTCTTGCAGGTACAATAATGGTTATAAATTAGGGAAGGGTTTCCTGGCAACCTCCACTTCCACTGAAGACACTAGGACCTCATCCTGCTGCTCCTGGAGACTCCACTGAGGCTTAGCTCCAGGCTACAGTATGGACAAGCCCCAGGCTTCTATCACCACATCACGGCTGAGTCACTCTTCCGATGCCTGGAACTCTCTGCCACACAGACACAAAGAGCCTGTTCTCTCTCTCCACTTTGCTCTGCTGTCACTGGACCTGGGGACCCGGGCCCCGACCCTTGCAGCTCACTGACCTGCCTCTGGACCTGGGGACCCGGGCCCCGACCCTTGCAGCTCACTGACCTGCCTCTGGACCTGGGGACCTGGGCCCCGACCCTTGCAGCTCACTGACCTGCCTATGGACCTGGGGACCTGGGCCCCGACTCTTGCAGCTCACTGACCTGTCTCTGGACCTGGGGACCCGGGCTCCGACTCTTGCAGCTCACTGACCTGTCTCTGGCAGCCCTCCACGATGATGAGCTTCTGCTGAGGAGAGGTCCTGGCAAACACGATCTCTGTGTGGTACCGCAAAATGTCATCCAGCTCCTCAGAGGTCATGTCCTTCAAGTCACTTCCGTGTACCACACAGGCCTTGGCATCTCTAGAATTGAGACCGGGAAAGCAACCAAGGTCACCATCCATTCACACAGCACCTCAGAAACAGAACCAAGCCCCAAAGGACTTCCCTGTCCCTCAAGAGCTGGTTTCATTCAGGATTTGCAGACTGTCACATAGCTCGCCCACTCAAGACTTACAGCCACCTGTGGCGGGCCTGCTTCCCACTCCCCCCTCCCCAACTCTATCAGACAGGCTGAAATAACACCGACACACTTTTAGAAACAGCAGAGCTGAGAGAAACCTCTCCTAACCCAAATGAGGGTGAGAAAGCCATAGACCGATAACAGAATGAAGACAAAACTAATGTGTCTCAGCTATCTGCTTTTTAATTGTGTGTGTGCACATACACACATGTGCATGATGTGTCTACACAGGAATGCATGCCACGCCACACGTGTGGAGGTCAGAGAGCAACATCTTGCAGTTGTTTCTGTCCTTCTACCTGCATACGTGCTACGGGTATCAAACTCAGTATGAGGCTAGCATGGCAAATACCTTCACCCTGAGCCACCTCACGGGCCTTCTAGTACCCACGTTTCACTTTAATGCGATTTCTCGTCCTTCCTGTCTTATCTGATCAATTGTCCTTTCTCATTTATTTTTCTCCATGTGGACCCAGAAACCGACTGGACACTAATAGTCCAGTGGCTAACAGCTTTGGACCAGAAGCTAGTTCAGACTATTTATTATCTGACTTCTCCAGTTCTAGGCACCCCAAACACTTCTGAGCCTCCACTTCCAAGTTCTTCATGACATCACTGTAACAAGCACCCTGAACAGCAAGTTCACGTGGGTTAGTGTGGCGGTCTCCCTCTGAACAACAAGGTCACATTCTGGTAGTACAGGTGCATTCCTGAGACTCCTTTGGTGCAAGCCAAGAAAGCAAGCAGTCCAGAGCGAAGAAGAGACAGTATTTAAGATCCTGCTGTACCTGGGGTTCACCTGGTTCACTGGAATGTTGAGGCGGGCAGCAATGTCTTCCACAGTTTCATTGCCTTCTGAGATGATACCCACACCCTTGGCAATGGCTTTGGCTGTGATTGGATGGTCTCCTGTGACCATGATGACCTGAAACAGGAAATCAGACAATATGCATCAACTTACCAAAATTATAAACATGTATTTACGAAAAGAAACCGCAGGCCCAAACCAAGATTCTATGACACCGGATCACATCATATTGCATAAATCACATCTTTTTACAGAAACATAAAAATCCAATTTACTAAAGCAAAGGTGTGACTAGGTAAAAGTGTGTATAGGCAAAAGGTGTGTATAGATAAGGTGTGTATACTGCTGGTTAGTACTCCATACTCACACAATTCTGAAGGAAAACAGTTAGAGAATTTAATTGTATTTACATGAGTCTGTGTCAGGAGGTAAGAGAGAGCACAGTGCAGGAGTCCTGGGAAGCCAGAGGCATCAGATCCCCTGGAGCCTGAGGCACAGCTGGCTCTGAGCTGCATGATGTGGGGTGCTGGGAACCAAGTTCAGCTCCCATGCAAGAGCAGTAAGACCTCTTTACCACTAAGTCATATCCCCTGCCCATGTTCCTACTTGTTTTAACATTTAGAAAAATAGCCTTTAAAAGAAACAAAGTACTGGGAGAATCATTTCTTTCTTTCTTTTTTAAAAAAATATTTATTTATTTATTATGTATACAATATTCTGTCTGTGTGTATGCCTGCAGGCCAGAAGATGGCACCAGACCCCATTACAGATGGTTGTGAGCCACCATGTGGTTGCTGGGAATTGAACTCAGGACCTTTGGTAGAGCAGGCAATGCTCTTAACCTCTGAGCCATCTCTCCAGCCCTAGGGAGAATCATTCCTATCAAGCTTCTCAATCAAGTATTTTTTTAAGTGTGAAACAGTGGAAACAACACAGTAAACACAATACAACATTGAGCCCAGAAAAGACAGAGAACAAGTCAGCGAAAGGTCGACTGAAAACACCAGGGATGCACCATCCACTGCATTTCCAAATTTAAACCTCTTTTTTTTTTTTGACTTTTCTTTTACATCATTTGTTTCCTTTTACCAAAAGTAAGGTGCTTTCCACCCCCACCCCCAACTTCACATCTGTTCTTTATCCAGAACTTTTATAGTATCTGATTCTTCAGGGCTGCACCCAAAGCTCTGGAAATGAGAAACTGACAGGCACGCCAAGAGAGAAAGTAGCTACCTAGATCTGGGGAAACAGTCACAGGTAGGGAACAGCGGCTCTGTGATGGAACCATGAAACACCTAGGCCCTACCTTAATTCCAGCGCTGCGGCATTTGCCCACAGCATCGGGGACAGCAGCTCGAGGAGGGTCGATCATGGAGATAAGACCCACAAAGCAGAGGTTATCCACAGGGAAATTGACTTCATCAGTGTCAAACTGGAAGCCTTCCGGGAACTGTTCATCAGGCAGAAGGAGGTGGCAGAAACCTGCAAAAGACAGCAGGGCACCCATGAGGGTTCCAGTGCTGTAGACAGTGAGGGACCACTGTAGCCATCCTCCCTGCAAAGGGCACCCATGAGGGTTTCCAGTGCTGTAGGCAGTGACGGACCACTGTAGCCATCATCCCTGCAAAGGGCACCCATGAGGGTTTCCAGTGCTGTAGACAGTGAGGGACCACTGTAGCCATCATCCCTGCAAAGGGCACCCATGAGGGTTCCAGTGCTGTAGACAGTGAGGGACCACTGAGCCCATTATCCCTGCAAAGGGCACCCATGAGGGTTCCAGTGCTGCAGGCAGTGAGGGACCACTAAGCCCATTATCCACCCTGACTACCTTGAGCAAGATGTTTCATGTGGGAGAATCTAGTTTACGAATAATACAGAGTCAGTGAAACAAAACAAAAATGGCCAAAGGACAGAATCCACAAGGAAGAACTATCAAGGGACAGGAATATTCCGTGTGGAGAAACACTGGACTGACAAGACTAGTTTTAGTAGCAGCCCATCAGGCCGCCCAGCGCCTATGATTATCTGGTAAACTGAGGACATCTCTTCCTATCTAGTTACGTGTTGCTGAGTGCCAACATAGGCATTCATAGGAGCTGCTCTGAATATGAACGCAGAGCAGACATCCTGCTGTAACTGCACCGTCTGGTTGTATCACTCCTGCCTCTGCCTTTAGGACCGTGTGATGCTCAGTGGGTAAGAAGTACTGTGTAGGCTCTCAAGAAGACTGCATCCTTCTTTCTTGGGGTTGGCGAAAGCCAAAAAGCAAAATGACTTCAGAGAGGTTGGTAATTAATCTTTCATTTGGGCAGACAAGGGAGAGAAACACCGCCTATGGGTTAGCTTTTCAGAAAGGGTGTGTGACCCAGAGAAATCGACCAAGCGATTGGTTCTCAATTATCCCACGAGAAAGAATCAATAATGGATTTGTAGCTATCAACACATAAAATACTGTAAGTGCCACTTGCCCAAATACATTGGACAGTGGGCAAAATGGATTTCTAAGCCTCAACAGCCTGTCAGCTACAATAGCCAGGAAGGATCCTGGCTTTTAGTTTGCTGCTGGTCTTATGAGTGGAGTGGTCACATCCCATGGGCCATGTACAGTCATCCCAGGTACTACTTAGGCACACCAAAAATTAACAGATTTTAACTAAGCTTATAGACTACGGCCATAACAAAGATGTCAGATAATAAAGCCCCTACTCCCACCCCACATCCAGAACTGACCATCACGAGGCCATGGGTCTAAGTACAGGTCAGTAGCAAATCCTCAAGCCTCCACCACTCATTGCTTTAAACAATATAAGGCAGAAAAAAAAAAAAGCAGCAGCAGCAGCAAGATGGCCCCAGGAAGAATGAGAAGAATGTCCAGAGAACACAGAGTAGTAACTGCTGTGGCTGTCTATGACAAAGCTATGCTCTGTAGCCATAGGCAGTCACGTGTATACCTAGCACACGCTCTCCAAGTCCTCCCAGTTCCAGGTAGGCATTCTGGAAGGCGTCTTTCAGCTCATCGTCCAGTGGCTGCTCCTTGCCGTGGAGGAGGATGGAGCTGCAGCGGTCCAGGATCCTTTCTGGGGCACCCTTCATCACCAGCAGGTGTTTAGGCTCGGACGTGTTTGGGTTCTTGTGAATGGACAACTGTGAAGGTTATTTAGGAAGAAACATTAGGTGGCTGCATGTGGCAGTCCAGGCTCTCCTAACCAGCCAAGACAAGCTAGTATAATATTTACAGGCTAGTATAACAAGCTAAGGTTTCCTTTCTGAACCTGTAAATATCTCATGATACATGATGCATGCTACAGACAAGAAAAAAAAGCGAGCACTGTACTGTGTCTAAAGTTCACATGGGAACAGGCATCTTCTGTAAGCATGCTCACAGAGCAACCCTCCCGAACTCTTGGAGAACCAAGATGCTGGCTACTGCTTGTGTACCCAGATTCTCCCTCCCCTTTCAGCCCCCAACTCCAAGGTCCCCAACAGCACCCAGAGAGAGGTTTCATTTCTCCTATGATATTCAAGTAAAAGGAGACTTTCAAATTTAAAGGGAGACCTTGTAGAGCCTGAGTGGAGAGCGTCTCTTCCTCTAGCTCACCTCCCCCACCCCCCCTGCCCGGTGTGGCCGCCCCAGATCTACACACCTGGTACTTGTTGGTGGAGTTGAAGGGAATCTCCACGATCTTGGCGTATTTCTCCCGCATCTCCATCACGGAGCCACAGCAGACCTCAATGCACTTTAAGAGCGCCGACTCGGAGGCGTCTCCGGCGACTGCCCGCTGGGAACAGAGAGACAGCGCCTGTTAATGCCCGGGCCAGGCTGATTCACAAAACATGGTTGGGAAACAGAAAGAACTCTGAATGGACTCCAATCTCCTCAGTGGCAGAGAAAACAGGTGGAGGAGTGACCCAGGCTCCTCAGGCAAATCTAAGCTCCAGCCCCACCCACCTCAGCTTCAGGTGAACGGGCGCCTGAAGGCCTGGCTGCCAGCACACCCTCCAAACCGGCGCAGTCTGTTATCACTTCCACAGGCCTGCTAAAAAGCCTCACAGTCAACACTATTCACAACTGAACCTTGCTGGCCCTAAGTTTGGAAAAAAAAAAAACAACAACACCCTAATGCAAACACTCTACTACCATTCATTGGCCCAGACTTTAAAGTCAAATGGTTCAGGGTTCAGAGCCAGGCAAACTGTGTCAAGGGCAAAGCAAAGGGTTCTGTGCTCTTAACCTAATTCAGTTGTAGAGAAACCACCGGGGCTGACTCTCACAGCTCAGGCAGTAGCACGGTCAGCTGGCTGTCTTCACTTTGGGGACACACACCTATGCTTTCCAAAAATCTGCTTGCTCTGTCACGCAGCTCTCTTGTCCTCCTAAGCAGTTCTACCTGTAAACAACTTCTATGCAGGTGAACAGATTAGACCTCTGACACAAAAGCCCGGACCCTCAGGTGAGCAAAGGGACACACAAGGACAGCAAGCCTGGTAAGAAGGGTGGTGGTGGTGATGATCACTTTTAAGAAAAAAGAAAAGGTCTATTGAACAGACCAAGGTTACTCCCAGAAACCTTGCTACGGAGGGGTTAGTAATGCTATTGACACAGCTCAGTTGGTTACCCAAATAGTTCAAACACCTCTTGAAAATCGCCTTAGTTTTTTTTTTTTTTTTGGGTCAGGAAAGATAAAAAATGTCTCCTTTGAGGTAAGGCAAAGCACAAAGCAGCCATCTTCAGTGTGACTCCCAAGACAAAGAGCATCACTTTTAAACCAGCTTCAACCCAACGCCAAGCAAACTGCCTTCCAAGAACGAGCAAAGCCTAGCCTCACAGGAGAAGCCACCTCAGACTCATCCAAGCTGTACTTGCTTTGGCAACTGCGTTTATACAGAGAACCCCACAGGCAAATAGCTTCGCGGAGGACAGATGGAGCCCAGGGAACCCCACACAGCTCCTTGACATCTGCAACCCACGGTCCTTCAGGAATGGCACTGTCACAGACTCCGTGAGCATTCCAGAAGGCTGAGACTGTGCTCGATCTTATTTTTGCATCATTAGTAAGCAAACTAAGGACAAGTGAGATAAGGGAAATACCTGAGCTATTTTAAGCACACAAGTGGTCTAAGGGATTTGTTGCAATCTAGTGTATCTGAACATGCAAACCCAGTTAGAATCACTGACCCGGCTTCCCTACCCCCTTGGTTAGGTGCTACCATAGGAACAAGGGTAAAACTTGTCCACTCAGGTTTTCACCAAAAATCTCTTTCCTTCTCACTGGCTCACTCAGGTCAGATTTTCCCCTTTATCCCCCCCCCCCCCCCCATTTCCCCAACTGACAGATTGTGGGCCCTGAAAGCACTTCAGAGCTCCAGGCAAGACAATCTTTGCTGTTCGGAGCAAAGATTCCCATAAAAGCTCTCAAGCGTTCTTCAGCGAGGTTGGCTTTCTACACACAAAGGTAAGGTGCTGTTTAGAAAAAACGGTGGCTATTCTTACGTGGTGACGATACCCTTACCTCCACCTCCACCCCAAACAAGCAAGAGCAGTTCTGGGGTATACCTTAAGAATAGGCAGGTTTTCTTGGTTTGCCTGAAACACTGCCCTGTTACAGAGACCAGCAATTCTGGACAGAGCGAACCAGGTGGCTGACGTCTTGTCAAAGGAGACCCCTGATGGAAACAAGAAGACATGACCGGAAAATGACATGTTGACTTTTAAAAAATTAATTAACTTATGTGTGTGTTTCTCTGTGTGTGCCTGCATGAACTGATGTGTCCAGGAGCAAGCAGGCACTCACTTCCTTCTTAAACACATTAGCATGTAGTGGTTCTTAGTCACATGAAAGAATTTCTTAGGGCAAATTAATTTATATACACACACATGTACACAATTTAACAATAAATATCAAACTAAAAAACACTGCCATGAGCTTAATCAATCAACAATCAATCAATCAATCAATCAAATAAAATGCAAGTGGGGCTGGCAAGATGGCTCAGACTCTTGCTGCCTCGCATGATAATCTGGCCTGGATCCCTGGAACCTGCATCCTGTAAGCTGCCCTCCGACCTCCACATGGGCATGACAGCACACCTGTGCCCGCACGCGCAAGGCGAGCAGGTGCTGCAGGGTGAGGTGGCCCAGTCTTACCGCTCTGATTCTCCGTGGTGTCAGCTTCATGGATTTGATTGTCAAACCACATGTGGGCCACTGTCATCCGGTTCTGAGTCAGAGTTCCAGTTTTGTCTGAGCAGATGGTAGATGTGGACCCCAGGGTCTCCACAGCTTCCAAGTTCTTGACCAGGCAGTTCTTCCTCGCCATGCGCTTGGCAGTGAGTGTCAGGCATACCTACAGACAGGGCAGGCAAGAGAGGACGTCACTCAGCCAGGCGGCAGTGCCACACAGATCCCGCTACATCCTAATATGGAAGAAATTTATTTAAAATTCAATTTCCCCAACCTTCTCCTGAAGTCAGGATGGTAAAACCTCATGAGGATGGTGGGAACGTCCTCCCATTCCCCCCCAAAACAACAAAATTTATCAAGTGGATCCCCCATAATGACCTCTAAGTTTTTATTGTCCTCCACTGACCTGGTCTAACATGATAACTTAAGAACAATGCTATGTTTTTGGGGTTCTGATAAACCTAGGCTGATGTTTTCTCTGTCAAAGTTTACCATGCAGTTTGGAACAAAAGGCTACACAGACAAATACAGAGCATAAATATAGAAGTTAGAAACTGCACAAGAGGCTCATGGCCGAGTCCTGCACCCATACAAGCTGATCTGAGTGATGGTGACTGCTGCTGTCCCGGGCATCTTACCGTGACAGTGGCCAGCAAACCTTCGGGCACGTTGGCTACGATGATACCAATGAGGAAGATGACAGCCTCCAGCCAGGTGTACTCAAGGATCAGGGACAAGATGAAGAAAGAGACCCCCAGGAACACAGCCACACCCGTGATGAGGTGGATGAAATGTTCGATTTCTTCAGCAATGGGTGTCTGGCCCCCTTCCAAGCCGGAAGCAAGTGTGGCGATTCTGCCCATCACAGTTCGATCTCCAGTGTACACAACAATACCGCGCGCAGTTCCTTAAGAGTCGGGGAAGGGAAACGGTCAGCCAGGCCAGAGAATGTGCTTGGTTTTGAAAAGAGACCGAATATAAACGCATAGACTTCTGTCCTAATAAGGCCGAGCTCTCTGGATAACTTGCTGTCTGTTTCAAAGCAGAATCTCTGGTGAAAGGATTGCTACACACTGCCAGGAGAGCCGGGGCCATGCTGGCTGCCGGCTGCTATCAGTACAGAGCACTGTGTGAGGGAAGGGAAGACTCTTTGGGCCTTCCTGGCAGCAGGTAAAGCCTCTCTGCTCTGTGTCGAGGGAAGTTGTCAGAACAGAACCAGCAAAAGGAGGAATTGTGCTTATCTTCTCTCTCTCTCTCTTTCTCTCTCTCTCTGTCTCTCTGTCTTTCTCTGTCTCTCTCTCTCTCAACACCCACAGTAAATACTAAGTCATGCCTAAGAGCGCCTGACATAGCCTACCTTCCACGCAGTTGGTTGAGAAGAAGGCGATGTTCCTTGTCTCCAAGGGGTTCTCGTTGGTGAAATCTGGGGACCGAGTCTGGGGTTCCGACTCCCCCGTGAGTGAGGAGTTATCCACCTGTGTGTAAAAAGTAGGTGCAGGGTGGGTACTCGGGCTCACCACGGGCTACTGCGACCCTCAGTTCTCTCTGCCTACTGAGCAGAGCTAGCCAGAAGTCTCCCGACAACCTACCTTGCAGCCGTTTGCAGATATGATCCTGAGATCAGCAGGGATCCGGTCTCCACCTTTCACCTCCACCAGATCGCCGACTACGACATCTTCTGCGTTGATGCTCATCTTCTCACCATTCCGAATCACAAGTGCTTGCTTTGGAAGGGAAGATGGTTGACACCATTAGATGGATCCCAACAAGGAAAGGGTTAAGTTCAACATAAGACACCCAAATTATAAGTGAACTTATCACAAGTTACCCGAGCCTACAGCAAAGATACCATTCATTATATAAAAACACTGCAGCTCCAAGAGTTACCCTAGAGCCATTCCCACTAGGAACTGCTTAGACAGCATCACTTCATACTCGGAATACCTTAACTTCACATTAATCTATGTAGTGAGAGCCATCCAAATCTCTCAAAAAGGAAGGACAAAGCAGCAGGTACCTGAGGGACCATGTTTTTGAAAGATTCCATAATCTTGGAACTTTTAGCTTCTTGATAATAGGAGAAGCAACCAGTTATGATGACTACAGCAGACAGCACCACACCGAGGTACAGCTGGAAGGAAGCAGACAAGACTGTTAGCCCCACAACTCTATCTGGAGTGGTCATGGCTGCAGAAATAGGAAACTCACATCTGCACATTCATCTCTCTGGAGACTGAGGACCAGTGTGTGTGTGTGTGTGTGTCTAAAATAAAACCAATTTCAGTCTCTGGTCACTAACTTGATGAAGCTTTTACAAATATTCTAAGTGAATCTATTTCTCCTGCTATATTTATTAAAACAATGATATCTTTCCAAGTGCTTCTAAAGAAAATTTTCTAGGCAAGTATAATACACCTTAGCGAAGAGCTACGCTCTGCCACCTATGAGTGGTAGCCCCAACCTACGCCAAGACCTCAGCAGAGCTGCTACCACCCAGAGCTCTGAAGGACCCAGACTGGAAGAAGGGCTAAGTGTGAAGAGGAAGAGAGAGGGTCTAGGAGGCGACAGTGCCCCCGTGGCCACACGACTCACATCGTCATTTGGCGGTTCCTCTTCCGTAGCACTTCGGATGCCATAAGCCAAGAAACAAAGAATGGCTCCAATCCACAGCAACATGGAGAAGCCCCCAAACAGCTGCCGACAGAACTTGACCCATTCAGGAGTGGTGGGAGGGGGTGTGAGGGCGTTGGGGCCATCCCGGGCCAGGATCTCAGCAGCCCTCGCAGGAGTTAAGCCCTGAGGAGTAGAGAGGCGTATATCAGACAGACCAGACCAGTATTTATAAGCCAATACGCTCCCCTAATAACAAGAAGTCCACAGTAGGATTAGGTGCAAAACAGGCTCCCAGCTATGGAGCCAGGTAAAGCCTGCCTAACCCCCGCCCCTCCCCCAAAGTAAGCAAGGGATTCCAGCAGACAAAACCCATTCCCTTAGGAACCTGTAATACCCTAAGACCTCATTTAAAATCTTTTTAACAGGAACCATGGAAAATCTGAATCAGGTTGATTTCCCCCCCCTAAGTTTTAGACTGAAAAAGTACCTATTTTAACAAACTGGTTTGGCTTGAGTGTTTTCTGTGCGTTCATCTTATCTGGGGGAGGGGCAAGCCCACAAACAGGAGAGCAGGAATCCAAGCGCTTACTGAGTTAACAGCCAAGCTGTAACTACAGAACTCCATGCTCACAATGGTAACAGAAACACTGGACTGGCAGCGAAGGGCTCACCCACACACATACTTCAGCTAACTCCCGGGCAACCTGTCAGTAACAGTGTTCACCGGAAAGGTCACTGCACAGCAGCCTGCACGGTCTAACCGCCCCGAAAACCTGTCTCAGTGGCAGGCATTGAGACTCACACGAAGAGGAGAAAATAGCGTTACTTTTGTATTATCAAAATATCAGGTTAAAAAAAAAAGAAGATATCCTGTCTAAAGTATCTATTTATATGTGCTTGGTGTTTGTGTTATTTTTAACATTGGTGTCAACTATTAAGAGTGAGGAAAGAAAAAAGAAAACAGTAAGAGGAAAAGCAAGGAATTACTCAATATCCTCATCTGACTCAAGTCCCTGCTGGGTTATTCACTGTTAGGTTAATAAAACAACGACCCAACATTTGAGCCCCATCTACACCCCTACCATGGGTTGGGACCTTTAACTAGCCTGCCTAATTTGGCGATAATCTCTCATAGGCTACTAACCGACTTTATAAGTAAGGGGCACACAGCACCCGAGGTAACTGACTTTGAGTCCCAGATAGCCTGCTGACATAAGAATATAATGAAAACAAGAAATAATGGGTAAAATGCTTAGAGAAGAGGTGGCCTGGCCCTCTTGGCAAGAGGGTCTGAGTAGGGCTGAGGCCCCTCTCTGAGCCCAGGGGCAGGCGTTCCGAAGGCCACCCACCCATGCAAGTCACTCCACTGGCTGTGTCTCTAAGAGTGAACACCATCTCCTCTCAGACTGTGTCTCACAGCGGTGGTAGAAAACTCACTCAAAAGCCCTTAGATAGCGAAGATACAAAACCCATTTTAAGGGAAGGTATTCTTTAAACTTGTACACATACAACAGGGTGACCAAAGTTCTGACACACCTCCATGAACCAGGCAAACACAGACAAAAGGGAAAGGAGCCTGGCTTTGGGACCACTTTCAAAACCAGGTGCTCACAGTGCACTGGGTTGTAGCACACTAATGTTCACTCCCATGAGGGTTCATGGAAGTGATGTGCTAGCATAGAAGTCCAAGTTCTGCGTGATCACTCAGCCAATGGTGGCTGTCAGTGCTTCCAGGGTCAGATGCTACTGAACAAAACACAGCAGGGGAACTACAATTCGGTACGGCAGGCTTTGGATGAGGACATACTCGGCTCAGGTCTGTTCCGTATTTACGATGGAGCTCATCAAGGCTGAGTTTATGATCGTCCTAAGAAAAAAAAAAAACAGAAAAAAATAAATACACACCCCAACACCAAAAGGGAAAAATATCACTATACCATCCATCCCTATTAAGTCATCAGAGAAACTTTCTTTCCACAGCTACACAGGCTAAGCATTGATCTAACAGCTTCCTCAGAGACAGTCAATGCTGGATGACAGATGTCCGCCATCACCTGCCACATCAAGGCGAGGCTGACACTAGATACCTCAGTCATAAAAGCCTCCTTGGCCTACAGAGGCTGCAGCTCTCCAGGGCTCTTTATAGAAAAGCAAAGACTGGGGTACCAAGCACACTTCCATTGCTTCTGGAGAGTGGATGGAGAAACTATTTAACCCTTTAATCACTTTTAGAATTAGAGGCTTCGACTCTACAACCATGGAAGGAAATCTGCAAAGCGAACGCTGTGATCACTTTTACACCAGCCCTGTGACGGATGGGCAGGTGCGGGAGCATACATTCACAGGTGCGAGATGTTATTATACTATTATTGTTATTCTTTTTTGAGACAGGGTTTCTCTGTTTAACAGTCCTGGCTACCCTGGAACTTGCTTTGTAGACCAGGCTGGCCTCAAACTCACTAAACTCTGCCTGTCTCTGCCTCCCAGCTGCTTAAAGGGATTAAAGCTGTGAGTCACCACTACCTGGCTTGGTGCAAATAATTAAGAAAAATCATAAACCCAATCTTCCTCCCAGCACTTACCATGGAGACTTCCTTCTTCAGCTCATCCATGTCCCTTTCCTTTTTAGCCTTTTTGCCCTTCTTGTCGACATGCTCGGACACAGCCGCGGGCTCATATTTGTCTCGTCCAACCTACGGAAGGGGGAAGGGAAGAGTGAGCTCTGTACAGCAACTGGAAACTCACTGTTGTGCATTTCTTGTGTGTGCGTGCGTGTGTGTCGCGGGGTGGGGAGGGTGGAGGCTGCAGGGACACGTCGGTTGGGACAACCTCTGAACTTATACTGTGCGGTGCATAAACAAAGCTATTGATGGTGGATTACTGCCACCATCACTCAAGGCATCTGTGCCCACCCTAGGGTGTGAGAAGCAACGGGGAAGTTGTAACAGGCTTCAAAGAGCTTGCCAGGTCAACCTGCATTTGGGGTGAACAGTGGTCACTATGTTAAAACCCCCATTCTGCAGTCTTCCGCTCTGCCCACTGAAGGAATGAAACCACGTTTCCATTAGTAATTTCGAGGCCAGTCCACTATCTGGTGTTTGTGCTGTGAATCACACAGATGGAAGCGGAAGCCCTGAGTCCCACTATCCACCAGTTAAGGAAGCGTGAGGGAAGTCACTAACTCCTGAGGTCAATTTCCCTTCCTACCACGTAAGGACCAACAACCTAAGGCAGCATTTTTGAGGATTTAATGATACACTAATGCCAATCATTCCAGTGACTAAATTCTTACTGCAAAGACACCGAGCGATGTTTAAACATCTGTAGTGCTCACATAGACACTGACCGCGTTTCATCTTCTCAGACAGAAGTGAATGTCTAAAAGTCCCTAAAGTCTTCTTAAATAAGACACACACACACACACACACACACACACACACGAAAGAGAGGAAAAAAAAAGAAAGAGAAAGAAGGGGAGCCTCCACCACATTCTGTAACCTTAAAATAATTTTCCCCCAAATGAAAGGCCCTGGAAATGTTTTGACACAAGCAGGATGCAGGAAAAGCAGGCGCGTTATCGCGTAATTCACAGGATCCACCTACGCCTCTCAAAACTGGAAGAATTTTTAGAGAAAATGTTGATTCTATAGTTTAAATTTAGATCATTCCACTCCCCCACCCTGTTTAAAGTGCTTGAGCTATCTGCATGAAACCCGAACTTGGTACTCCAAAAAATCAGTCCACAGAGCACGAGGCCTCTCCCCTGCAGGCTGCCTCTCCCCTGCAGGCAGCCTTCCAGAGGGTGACACTAGTGTTTGGGGGCCCTGTGGCTATTGTTTCATGGGTCCCTCTTCTAGTTTTGAGTGGCACATTTAACAGCTATTCAAGCAAATACCCGAGAACTATCCTGTCTGCATGATAATCTTGTCCCAAATGAAAATAAAGCCAGAAAGCACGTGCTTCAGTCACCATACAGTAAGAGGCACACAAAATCCAGCATTCACTTGAATTTGGAAGGCTCCAGAGAAAGCGTGCTCAGATTAGTGGGTGCTGGAGATGTATCCAACACCCTGTTACTTGACAGATGACTTCTTCCCAGAGAGCAGCGCACTTGAGTCTTCATCTTATCTCCTCAGAGCAGTGCATGGTTGAGACATTCCTGACATTCTCACGGCTATAGAGCAACCACAGCTCTAAGGGCCTCCCCGAGTGTGGCTCTGCTGCCAGAGCTGAGATGAAAAATCACTGCGTGTGTTAAATAAAAAGGAAAGAGAGGGCTTTCGCAGATGAGCCCATCCCTTCACATGTCTAATGGGAAAGCACAGCCTCTGAAGCCGTTTCAGAGACGCTGACTAAGGGCCCCTTCCTTCGTGGATGTGGCCAGTCTGTACTGGTTTTTAAAATCCAGCCTACAGTTTTAAGCAAGTTCAGTGAGTTTCAAGGAAATACACTTACAGGAGACATGGTGTCAGAACCCCCGCCTCCCTGTCTGCAGGCTACAGCTATTCTCAGACTCACATTTTCCACTCCAAAAGGGAGGAGAGAGATACGGGCGAAAGTCAGCCCTGGACGCTCTCCAAAGTTCTATCACCTATCACAAAAGCAGGGCTTTCGCCTCCTCCTTCACGGGTAAGAGCAAAGTTGGGGAGTCTACATTTCCCAATAGACAACCCCCTTTATAAAGTCACGCTATTTAAGGCAGTTTTAAATGGGGATATCTGTAAAAGGGACATGCAAAATTACTTCTTCAAAGTATTAATTTTTCCAGTAGGCAATGTTTATCCTAAAGAACTAGGCAGCTTATCCAATTCGGTTCTTGCCCACAAGTAAAACAAGAATTTAATGCTAGTTCTTCCTGGTGCAAACCAAGAGATACTTAGGTTCCTATGGACACCAAGAACTGCAATTCCAAAGGAGGAAAAGTGTGTGTTTGTGGTGTGGGGTAAAACAACACTGTCCTTATTATTTCTACTAAAAACAAAGGTCACGGCAGGGGAGTGGTAAGGTGTTTCCTCTGTGGACTTCATTGACCTTCCCACTCGTTTGGGCGACAGGCATGTCATTTCTCCTTTCTCAATCAGAAAAGGCTGACCGCTTTCCCACTCAGGACCACGGAAGAGCAGAGTGACTAGCGCCCGCCACGGACACTCCCCCAAGTGGCTCTCTTTGAGTGTCTCTGAGGAAAACCATGGATGGGGCGTTCAACAGGCTGTGCCGTCTTCTAAAGGGCAGCTGGTTAAAAGAGAGTGGGCAACGTTATTAATTTTTTCCATTCTAATTTAAGAACTGGGAAGTTAGAGCAAGAAATACTCCATGTGACACTTGAAGGCTGGCTGTGTCATTTCATATGTCAACCTGCGTGTCCTATGGACTCCACCTTCCCAAAGACTCTCAAGGAAATTCGCTACAGTTCGCTCTGGATAAAAGGGATGTTGGAGACGGAAAAAAAAAAATCCTGGACAGGAACAGCAAATCGTGATATGTAACAAGATTTCATTGAGAAAACACATGCTGACCAGTCCTTACAACACAGGAACAAGAAATCCCCATGACCTTTTAGAGTGAAAAATGTTCCTTCCTCTTCTTCAGCTAATTCGTCATTATCAAGAAGGAACTGTGCCTGGGGAAGGGAGATGACAGCTTCAAATTTACCAACTATTACAATAAATATGATGATCTCTCGCTACACACATCCACACCACCCACCCACACAGTGCAGTGAAATTTTCATAAGAACCTTTCTCCCCAGCAGCCTTCCACTTGAGGCCTACACAGGCAGCAGATGACCTCTGCCCTTTGACCTTCCCAGCACCTAGGGAGCACCAAGGGTGGCCTCCTAAGGCTTCTCCTCACTACCAGCACCTCCGGTTCTCACAGCCAGAGAGCTCAGGAGGCCTTTTCAAGATTTCTGAAATTCCCGCTAAACTGCCCAAAGGGTTCTTCCTTGGAAGGGCAAGATGCCACCTCACGGAGCCAGGTCAGTGAATGGGCTTTTAACTGTGGCCCATTGTCAGGACTCTAGCCCCTAGCCCTGCAGCCACAGGTCCACCCAGCAGCAACCTGTCCTTCAACAGTCAGCCTTAGTCTTCTGCTCCGTCACTTCTGTTAACTCACTGGAGGCATTCTGAGAGTTTGATTAGTCACATTGGAAAACACCACCAAACAAACAACCTCTGAATTGTTTCCAGAACTGGAAACAAAAGCTTTTGACTAGCAAGAGGGGTTACAGACATGGCAAAGTAACTGCCCTGAATGCTACCCAATTCACGGCTGGCCAAGAGGGTTGCGAAGACAGCACCTTCAAACTCAATTTGGCAAACTCCACCTTGGCAGTGAACTCAGAGACAGGCTGATCTGACTCGTTGTTACAGCAGGCTCTGCCCAATTTTGGCCAACTGTTAGTACTGGGGAAGTGGGGGTAGCATCCCTTAATTTTCCTGGTTGTCATGTCAAACCTTCAAACTCAGCTCTGTCTGTAAAGGTCCTCTGCACAGCGCTGTACAAAGGTCACTGTGATAACTACACACATTACTGCCATTCCCTGCTTCCTATAGAAACAGCTTTCGGATGCATTTGAAAGGAAGCATCAATCTGACCTTGTGTGCTACGTTTCCAATTGCGAGTGGGCCTACAAATGGTTTAGTTTAGGTTCATCTTCTCTAGCTGGAGACAGGAGAGCAGAACCACAGCCTGGCCTGGGTGGTGGCTGGCAAATGGAGGACAGCGGACAGACAGGCATGGTCCTCCAGTCCACAGTGACACTTCTGGACTTAGCAATTCTCTGCAGAGGAGGTAACCAAGGGGGTACCCCCCCATTCCATGCCTCTCCTCACTCCTTAAGATGCACGTGCTGGGGATTGTACTCCAGCAAGGCCAGAGCACTAGGCCCTTTCTGAACTCAGCTCAGTATCGAAACTTGGGCTGTAGCCCATCGGCCACAAGGCCGGGAGCCACCACAGCTCCAGGACACTGGGTTCCCCCACCCATGGGAACATTACCTAACCTTTCTCCCCAGTGAATTCTTAACAACCTGCCGGTCCACCCCTCCAGCCGGAGTGTATCCAGGATCATTTGACAAAATAAACATTGGAAGGTATGTGAAGAATCACTATATTTCAGATTTTCTTCCTCTTAAAATGTATTTCGCTCTCCCACTTACTAAAAGCACCAAACCCGTGGGACATTCAACTTCTCCAAGAGGCCTGAATGAATCAAAAAGAACTGCAGAGGGGGCTATCAGTTTCCGGTAAGTCCTGGGGACTCTTAATAGGTGGTTTGAAACCTAGGAAGTAAATTGACTGCTGGGTTGGAGAGGGCAAGGCGCTGAAGGCCTAGAGAAACAAACAGTCGGTGCCATGAAAGCATGACAGGGAGGATGCAAATGGAGCCTGAGTACCCCAAATGCCCCAAGGCCTTAAATAACATCTGCATAACAGACTGGAAAGACAAACACCATGGCCCACAGATGACAAAAACGTTATGATTACTAGTCCCCAAATAATAAAGGCGCTAAAGAGAAAGTCTGAGCTAACCATCAATCAACTTTTCAGATCACCAACAGAGAATATGAGATTGTTGTTACTAAATGGGGTTTGAATAAAACCTGATAAGAGACAATACCCAGCTATATTTCATTGTCAAGTCACAAAGCCACTGGAGAATGAGGTCTGTTGGATTAAAAAAAGAATCCCTTTGGCTCAGGACCCAAATGAAACCAAATGAGGGTGAAAACGTGTGTGTGTGGGGGGGGGGGGGGCGTTCCTCTTTTCTCACTGACAGAACCTGTTATCCCAAACAGCCAACAAATAACCGCTAAGGGTGTCTTATGGATTCCTGACACCAGATCTCAGCACAGTTAACGAGATGACTCACATGGAGAGAACAGCCTCTCCGACTCCAAAGAACACACTTCCTCTCATGCTCTCAATTCAAGGCAATGCGAGAAAGTTCAGTTCAGACCTGACTCGGTTAGCGCCCTCCCTGCAATCTATAAAAACGAAGGTGTTTTTGAAGGCGCCGCATTGTGACGTTCCCTTTGCTAATTCACATCGGCAGCCACTGGACATGTTCTCAGAGCAATCGAGAATTAGACTGGGCTGGCAGGGCTGGAGAAACAGTCTGCCCAGTGCTTTGTTATCCAAACCCAGTCACTCTGATTACTGTGAGCCCATCTGATCCGACACTCGGATTTCTTCTTCAGGCCTGCTGGCTGGCAGGGGGCCATGGGCACTGATGTTCCGGCTGAGAAATGGCCATCTCACCCAATGAAACTTTCAAGAACTGAAAAACGACCACTGATCGTGGTTAAAGCACTCACTTGGGAAGCAAAAGCTTATGACGGAAAATCCAAGATTGGATCTGCATGTTAGGCAAACGTCAGGGTTCCCAGTCATAGCAGTGGATGCTTCCCTTGGAGGACAGTTAACAGTGTTTCTCATTCTTTTCCATCTTTTATGTTTCTCAGGGGAAAGGAAAATTGTTCCACAGCTTTGAAGGGGCCAGGGACTCAAGGAGAGCAGTTTCTGGAGGTTTGTTTTCCTCACAGTCCTAACGACTTAGTAAAGCCAGCAGCAGTAGCTGCACCATACACTGGCATGGTGTTCATTCTATAAATGGGGCATAGATGCCTTCCACTTGATCCTCAGGGCGAGGACTCTACCTCCAGCCTGACTGGAAACTAAGTTTCAGGGCGATTGCTTTAAAACAAACAACAACAAAAACCCTGCTTGTCTTCAAATGAAGCAAAAATCTGACTCAGTTCTTCAGGGCTGTTTAATAATGCCTCCCTCTCATTACTGAGCTATTCTTTTTTTTTTTTTTTTTAAATATTTATTTATTTATTTATTAAGTATACAATATTCTGTCTGTGTGTATGTCTGCAGGCCAGAAGAGGGCACCAGACCTCTTTACAGATGGTTGTGAGCCACCATGTGGTTGCCGGGAATTGAACTCAGGACCTTTGGAAGAGCAGGCAATGCTCTTAACCACTGAGCCATCTAAAGAACAGTCTGATGTGCAGAGAGTCACTTATCTGTGCACTTGTTGCTAAGTAATCCTCAAGCCATGGATTGTTCAGGGATGGAGGGTGAGTGCCAAGTCTCTGCTTTAACGCTGGGCCTGCTTCTTATTCTGAAATGTGATTTTAAGCTTTAGTCCTCTTCTGGGTAAACACCCTACCAGATCTTTATGAAGCTTTTCCGGGTGGGGTGGGGGTGTTCCCTATCTTCTTAGGTTTATAGAGCAGCCTCCCCAAGTCCTATTCTTCCACCCCAAGGTGAGTCATCATTGTTACAAACTTGCCAGTAGAGAACGCTACAAATTAACAGCAAGCAGCCAAGACAATACAGCCTTACAGCAGGACGGAGAGAACCTTCCAGGCAGGGAACTGTTATACTCTTACACTGTATGACTGGCAGGCGAAAGGTGGAAGCAACCTCACACTCTCTGCTCTGTTCCCTGGGCTTCCCAGGACCAGCCCCAGTGCTCCTGGCAGGGCCGGGGCACTTTTCATTGGGAGGACTCTGCCTTCCAGTATTTTGAGTCGAAAGTACCAGCTTTATAGCAGCTAGTGGGGTAGTTAGTCACACTTTCCAGTTTAGCTCCAAAAGGGCAGCTGATAAAGTCACCATACAACCGGCATTTCTGCTGACATGTGTACGTACCCTTTGTGTGACCTGAACCTGAACCTCTTCCCTGCCTGGTCTTTAAATCACTACCCATAAACTAGAATTTCTTTTCTAAGTAACTAAGTTAATATTAAACCCAGCCCAGAACTGCAGTGAAGGGTTAGGGAGACCTCCTCCTTTCCCATCTTTTATAAACTTAAAACAAACAAAAACCAACCAACCAACAACAAAAGCCCAGAAAAATCTGCATTTCTAAGCAATTATTATGTTCACCTTTGGTGAGCTAAACAGTTGTGGGTGGTAGGCCTCATTGAGGATTTAAGCCGAGTCACCGGCAAAACACTCAAAGAAAAAAGGAAAAAATCCCATTTTATTCAAGAATGATTCAGCAAGCTGGTTCTTCGCTTTCTTCCCAAATGTTCAGGACCCGGGCGTTGAAAGCTAGGAAGAAACACCCGAGACGACTGCCCACACCTAAGCCTGATGGCACTTGAGAAAAGGGGAGTGGGATCACAGTGACCTTAAAATTTAGTGCCATTAAGCTTCCTGGTTAACCAATTATCAAAAGGGCTTCAGCCATAGCGCCACCCACCTTTTAATCCCCATGTGGAAAAATCCCAACGTTTCAGTACGAGCTATTCCTCTGACCAGTTCAGCCATCATAAGTCATTGCGAAAGACATGCACACATACCTGAACGCATGCATGCAGCCTAACATCTGATTTATGAGTTCTCCAAACACCTTTTGTTTCTCTAGACATTTATTTACATCCATTAAAAAAAAAAACAACTTAGGTTAAACTTCCACTAAATACTCATTTGGACTGTTACTGTACCACTCCAGGGCATAGGAGATTCACCTAAGGCCTACGGCATGGCTGACTTAAACATCTGCCTGGCTTATTTATTACAAACACGCCAATTCCTCCTGAAGGATAACTGAAGAGTTCTGCACATAAAGTCACGATTAAGAGATGTGTACGCTGTAGAGCAACAGGTTGTTCAGCACCTGTGGTCACCAAACAACCATTTGACCTTGAACAAGCCACTTCACCTTCCCAGGCTTCGGTCTGTCTTTGTACTCCGTAAAAGCCACTCAAGGTCTCCACTTGACAAAGATACTTTGTGTGGGGAGAGGAGACGAAAGGGGGTTAGAGTGAATACATGGTTTATAGGAATAGCCTCGATGGTGTATGTAGGATGGTGCGATACACGGGTGCCCTTTCCTTCCCGGGAAGTGGGGCCAGGCAGGCAGGCAGCTCTTGGCTCTGAGGCTGCAGAACCCTAGGCCCACACTGGGCTCTCCCACCGTCCCTATTCACCGCTACCTGGCTCAAGTCTTGTAATTATCACCTTGAAAATCCATTTAGTCTCTAGAGAACGGGCTTCCCTCTGCCCCATCTCAGTATACAGGTGCCTTAGGACCTGCAGAGTGTCTACAGCCTGTCCACTTGGTCAACCCAGAAGAGGATAGAGTGGATTCTCCCACCTGTATTCTCACGACTGGTGCTTTTTCACCCTAGGAACTGAATTTTCGGGGTTATTTGGGTTATAATTTTTATCCGCTGGATTTGAGCTGTTTCGAGGTCAGGAGCTAATTTTTCTGAGGTGGGAACATAGTCGTGTCCCGGACCCCTCATTCCCATCGGGAATAGTTCTTGGGAGAGACAGCAGTGCAAGAGGCAGGCATGACTTTTCTAACCACCAACTGCCCTGTCTCCAGTCCTTTGTCGAACTGACTATACCCAGGGTCAGCCTGGCCTCCTTCAAGAATCACCTCCTGACATAAATTCACACACCCCTTCCCAACGTTAAGAAGGCAACACCAGCTACCAAAGGCTCACTCTGTTATGGAAAGTGGCCCATTTTAAAGCTCTCAAAAGTATACCTTAAAGGCTATCTTAGGGTTGTGAAGTCACACCCTGGCACCAGCTTCGCTGGGCTGGCTCTACAGTAAGGGGAAGCCAGTTTTTTTCTTCCTTTGGGGGAGGGCGGTCGCCTCTGCGGGGAGCTGGCCGAGCCCCAGCGCCTCCAGGAGAAGGGAGTATCGACCCGGCGGCTGCCCTCGCCGGCGCCGGGCCGCGGCGAGAACTGCCACCGCGAGGGGGCCCTGGCGGAGCTCCCCGGGGGGAAGGGGAGGAGCACTCCTTCCCCTGGGCACGGAGAGAGGAGGGAGAAAGGAAGCACAAGGCGCGCGGTGAGGGCGAACGGAGGGCGGAGGCGCCCGGCTCGGGGATGCCGCCCCGGGCGCTTTCCCTCCGGGCCCGCCGCCGGCGCTCAGCGCCCGCCCCTCGCCCGCTCCTCCGTTGCCAAGAGCCCGGTCTCCAAGTTGCTTCCTCCCTGGTCCCCTCCCGCGGCCCGGGCTCGCCCGACACTCACCCCCTTCCCCATGGTGGCTGCGCTGCGGGCCCCGCGCCGGGTCCTCTGGCTGGAGACTAGAAAGAAGAGAGAGAGCAGCTCCCGGCCGGGAGAGCGGGGCCGGGGGAGCCGAGAGGCGGGAACTAGGGCTGCTGCGGGAGGAAAGAGGGAGGACGGCTGGCGCCCCGGACCGAGGCCGCCGCTACTGCCGCCGCTACTGCCGCCGCTGCCACGTGTCCGCCTCCTCCCGCCGAGGCTCCGCGCCCCAGACCCAGCCGCAGCTCGAGCCCGCGCCTCCTCCTCACTTCCTAAAATATGCAACCTGCGTGATGGCTCCGCCCACGCGTGCACGTCACCGTTACCGGAGCAACCTGACACCGGCTCCAGATGGCTCCACCCCCGTCTCTAACCCCACCCCGTCGGGCCGGGACCGCGCTAGAGGCTGCCAGCCCCGGGCTCCCGGCAGGAGGGCGCCGGAGCCCAGGGCACGCGTGTCCGGGTCTCGCGAGGGCTGCTGCGCGCCCGCCTGCGGGACAGCGGAGACTGGAGTGAGCCGCCTGCCGAGTAAAGCGTGGAAAGTCCTCAGTGGGTGCGGTGCAGGGGAACTGAGCTAGCCCACTCAGTCAGCTTAGCTTTTCTAGAGCGGCAGGGATCTCAAGGGGCCCGGGTTGGACTGCAGCTGCGTGACTCCGAGGGACTCCTTTCTGCGTAAAGCAAGCCGGCGTCCATCTGCAGACGTTCACCCCAGGCTCTTGATGCCTTCCCTTTGCTTCTTTCATCTTTTATCTTGGGGTCCCCTTACTACCCCTCAGTCCTCCACTCTAGTGGAGATGCTTCTGATCACACACACGCGCGCGCGCGTGCGCGCGTGCCGCATACACTTCCTTTCCTTCAAGACCCCAAAACGACTATCCGAAAATATAGCCAATAAGGAAATTCATTCACAGCGCCGTGTGTGAATGAAACCTTGTGAAAAGCGGAGCGGAATAGTAATCTGCTTGTCCGAGGGATTCTCCTTTTTTATAAGAGAGTGAAACCTGAAACCCAAAAGAACGCCCATTTTTAGTAAAAAGGGGTGACTCAAAGGGGTTATGTTTTGAAGACCTGCCAGTGGGGCTCCCATAGTCCTACCTCCTTCAGGGCATCCTTGGCTACCCAGAGGGGCCCATCAGTCTCTCTCCGATTCCGTTCCACACAAGCCTCTGGCAGTTGCAGGGTGGGGCTTCTTTCTATAGTTTCAGGCTGCTTAGCAGGCCCTGCAATGACTGAAGTTCAACATTTGAAAAGCAAAGTATTATTATTATTACTAACAATGTCAGGAAAGCAAGCGCTCTGGGAAAGCATAGGATTCAGAGGAGAAACTCGCTTTCCTTCTCTGGAAACTCCTATGAGAAGCAAGGGAAACATTAACTCATTAGTGAGACAGAGACCAATCAATTTCACCTGCCGGTTCTTTGTAAGATGCAGGGCTTGCAAAAGGGGGGAGGGGAAGGAGAAACACCCAAACAGCCACTGTGTTATCATGTATTCCACAGAACAATGCTTAGCACTTCTTAGAAGCAACTGTTGCTTTTAGGAAAATGCAGCTTTTTATCTCCTCAGGTTTGATAGACTTGATCAATTCAGGCCTCGGAGAGCAGAGGGACTGTAAGTAGAAATCAAAACCATGATTCTGAGGGGGAAGAATCCCCCAGTCCGGAGCAGCAGTCCCAGCCTTGTTAGTTACATATAGTGTTCACTACTTCCTGTCATAGCCTGATCATTGCTACTGTGTGGGAGGCTTTGCTTGATGAAGGTCTTAATTTAAGATTAATTACCCATAGACACTGATGGGAAAAACACAACAACAAAAATGGAGAAAGTGCAAGCCTGCATTGTAGTTTTCTTACTCATTTCATCTATTTATTCAACAAAATAAGCCCTGATTGGTTGAGGCGTCGTCTTGTCTCTGGAGCTGTTAAGCTGGCAGTTATGGGTCACTGATGTCCTTTCAGGAGGCCTGGCATCTCTAGTTGTGTTCAAGGGTGGAGAAAGGGCAAAATAAGTACGAGCTTTTAATTAAACCCTATATTTTGCCTTTGGCTCTATGCAATAGGTCTTTTATTTTGTTTTGTTTTAACCTGACCTGGGATTCTTACACGGCTCCACATGGAACAGTGGGAAACTGGGGAGACTTGGCTTTGAAATTGGAAACTGAAACCATCTTTGAGCTTCATTCATACTCTGGTGTCTGAACATAGAACCAGCTTCCCAGGCAGGGAAAAGGCTATGGAAAGACTCCTTGCCTGGCTGAGAAGCAGAGCTGCGGCTGTGGGTACAGAACCAAGTGAAAGACAAGGTATGGATATGATGGAAGTGTGGAGGCCTCAGGTGTAAGAAGACACATTTTCCAGGGAAGAGGACTGAAGGTCTTTTTTTGAAAGGGTTGAAAGGGACCCCCACTCCTCTCCCACTCTTAGGAGAGATTTCTGAACGAAATCTTAGACATCAAAGACATACACACTCCTTGTTTTATGAGGAAGAAACTGAGATTCAGGGAGTGATGAACACTGGACCTCCAGACACTGGCAGGACATTTGGGTACCCTTCCCAGTTCCTAGTCACAGTCTGCTACAGAGGACAGCTGTGGATGATGGGAGAAAGAGCCAGCCACCTAGTACCTCCCCTCCTGCTTCTAAATGTATCAACTCTTTGGAGCTGCTAACTTGAGCATAGTTGAATGGATGGGATCAGACTCAGCCTTTAGGGAGTGCAGGGTTGCCAGTATGGTGTGGATGCCTCCAGGCTCTGGTCACAGCTAAGGAGGGCTGACCCAGTCTCTGAGAACAGAGTCAGCAGATGCATGAAAAATATGATGCAAGTCGGTGTTCTGAGCCAAGAACATTAGCACTCGGAGTGAGCACTTGCAGAATTGAATAAACACAACGTTGCAATTAAGGACTTCAGAAGATGGCTCGGAGCCCACAGCTCATTAGCATTTTCTATAGGAAGCAAATATTTGGGACATCAATGAGCTAGGAATTTGGGATGATGAGGTTTTCCTTGGCCTCATTCGCCCTAGAGTTAGCATGTAAACAATTATGAGTGTCCCTCTTTGTGCTGTACCGGTTCCCAGGCTCCCCAGAGAACCCCTTGCTTGCCTTAAAGTCAACTGTGTTTATCAACGAGAAGGTTCCTCGTAGCTTATTTCTACCCCTCCATGGAAAATCCACTTCCTCTCTCCTGTTTGACAGCAGATGGAGTGTTGCCTGCTTGCCTTTTAGTTTTAAAAGTCACACCTACATTTTTATTTAGGGTGCATGCCACCACATCCATGAGGACAACCTGCAGAAGCTGTCTTCCTCTTTCCACCTTGTGGGTACCAAGGATCGAAAGGAAGTTGTCAGGTTTGGCAGCAAGCACCCACTGAGCCTTTTTACCACTCATTACCGCCTACTTTAAAAGCACAGAGAACTGACTTCTGGTTCCTTTAAGCTTCCTTCCCAAATCCCATGTATCTTTTGAAAGTTCTTTGGTGTATCTTCACATACTAATGGCTAGGAAAGACTTCAAGTTTTACCTTTGGGAATGTCGAAATTTCAGCAGATAATGGGTGATTGTCATAGATGATTGCCGACCAAAGAGCATTCATCTAATGAAACTGTCACTTAAGTAATTTGTTCTTATTAAGAGCAGCATTTGAAAAATAAAACAGTATAAAGGTCTTTTCGCTGTTTCTTGTGTGTTCTACTTTGGTTCCTGAGTTTACAAATCAGGATCCTACCCTCTAATGCTTCTTCTGTTCCCCTCATCTCAACCCCAAACACTATGAAACAGTGTAGGGCCCTTGCAGCTAGAAATTCAACAGCCATGTGGAAACAGTAAGGAAAAATCAAATGGCAAAAAAGAAGGAGCTTGGGACTTGGAAACACTCCGTTCCTAGAGTTCCGTTTTCAGCCGTCTGCATCTGGGTGCAACTTGAGGCAGGCTTATTCCACGTGGGCAAGTCCTGAGTCAAGAAGAGCAGCATGGGCGACTGTCACATACTTCTGCATGCCTTCAGGTGGGCAAAGCCATCTCTGGGCTAGATGGGTTTGTTATTGGCCTGAAAACCTTCTATACAATCAAGAGTGTTCTGTGGAGGTTGGGCCTATTGAGAGCAAAATGCTTCTCGACATGCCAAGACACTGGAGCACAGATTTTCTTCAGAAAGAGCTACCTTAAGAGGAGAGACTACAGAGCCATCTCGAAGTAGTTTGATTCGTTTGTAAAAGTCTAGAAGCTCTTGTTACAGCCATAGAAGTAATGGAAAAGTAGGTCAGGCATGAAAATAGTAACCAGCTCAAAGAAAGCATCCCTAACAGCTTATGTTTAGCCAGGAGGCTACCATTTTAGTGATGGATGACCCCCCGCCCCCACGCGTGACCTCTTATGAGGAAGTTTCTAGGATGTGTTTCTTCTTTTACTTTCTCTCTCACAAAGAGCCTTGTCTAACCCATAACGCTGGTACTCTTGTATTAGTCAACAGAGATACAAACCATTTTCCACAAAATCAAAAACAAAACACCAAATGTCCCCAGAATAACTAGTAGGATCTCTAGGTGTATTACAGACCCGGACACAGTACCTGATGTTAATGTGTAAAGTCTAAAGAACTGGCCATTGAACGTGAAGGAAAGACATGCAAGGAGACATTAGTAACATGGTGAGAGGAACGGGACCTCAGCAAAGCATCACCAGGGCACAGACGAGGAAGCACTGAGTGTATTTGGAAGGAGCAGGGAAATGCATATCAAGCATAGCATGTGGGTCAACTCTTCTGAACATAAACCTGGCCTGCTGAAGGATGGGTTAGCAGTCATGGTTAGAGCCTTGATCAAGAGGGAGAGAAGCAGAGGGTAGCTTTGTGGAGGTGGTAGCGTACAAACTGTTGAGGAATTAGAAGCTATCCAGGGCCTTGAACTTTATCCTGTAGGCTACAGGGAAATGTGGCAGGGTTTTGAGAAGTACTGTGGCTTTGAAGAGATTTTTTTGACAGAAGAGAGAGCATGCTTGATTTCCACAGCCACCCTGTCCACCAATGTTTCCCTAGTTCTGTTGAATTCAGACTCTCAAGACATCTGTTTCTCCTTATACCTTTGTGATGGCTTATTTATTTATTTATTAAAATAAAGCACATACAGTAGCTCTTAATTTCCATCATCACCCCCATTATCTACTATTTCCTCCCAACAGAGCCTTCTGAATCGCTAAGGATGGAAGAGAAAACAAGGTGGAATTGGGGCATCCCTTTTGCAATCAGTTAACACTACTCCCTAGGCCCC